ACCTCTTTTGCGGGCTGAAGCAGGGATCGAGGTAAGCCAGTGAGATCACAAAAGGAACGTTTGTCACAGTACCGAAGGAAAAGGGGAGATACGCCTTCGTACAGGGTCTGAGGGGGTTCCAAGGAATCAACCAGCCTCGAAATTTGTACGAGGGGTTCTCCCATGATCATCATATGAGCATTCCATGTGGTTAGATGCATGGTACGCGCAATAGTGCGAGGCGCCGGGTAGTGAATCTGCTGCCGTACTAACCGTGTAACGACTGGATCGTCATCGTCGTCGCTCCCCGCGTCATTCGATGATTGGCCTCCGTCAACCGGTGCACTCCAGGAGACCATGCAGAGCGCTCCCGTTGTTTGCGGAGAAATTCGGGGTACTACCTTAACCGGCGTTCAAAGAGTTAGTCTCATGGGTATTACATATGGTTTTCCCCCGGTATTTCGGAGAATGACGGATCGGCATTCGAAGTCTAAATTAGCACGCGGCGCCACCAAGGCAGGAAGCCCGAAAAAAACGTCATACGTATTCACATCCAGCACCACAACATCTCCTAAAGCATGCACTTTTCCCAATCGGAACGCGACATTCGTCATTCGTCCTACTGTCTTGATCTTCTCCTCATCAACCGATACGAGATGGTCCTTCTCGGTTAGCATAATCATATCATTCTTCCTACCCGCTCTCTCGACTACTCGGAGTGATATCGCTAGGACAGCCGCTCTCGAATCTATGATCGCACTATACGGCACTCCCCAGACTTCAATATCACATTCGGCTGACTTCCACGGAATCGGCTTGATCCGAAGAAAGTGCTCATCTTTCTGTATCAATCCGACTCGGATGGGGTCAAGGGCGACGTCCGCCTTTTTCTCCGAAGTCGGCGCCTTGGCCTTCTGAGCGCGTGCAAGGGCGAATCGCTTCCGGTTCGCTTTGCAATGCTGCATCATACGTTCGTTCGCCTGTTCCGAAATGGAGAGTAGGTGGCCGATTGGGAGAGGGATTTGATGATCCAATGCTCGGGTGACATCAAGGACATCGATTTCCCCCGTAACAAAGGTAGGGCCTCTCGTCTCCATTTCGCTCGACGAAGGTCGCCATTCGGCGACATCTCTGGACTCGAGTTCTGGTCGGATTGTCCCAATCATTCCCAGCCCCGGGTATCCTAGTGATACATACTGCTCCAGCGGGATAAGCTCGGCTGCTTCCTCACTGAAAATCATCATTCCATTACTCCCCCCCTGATCATCCATCACGGCTCCTACACGTCCCGGGCCGTTAGGTATGGGGGCTGCAGCTGCAGGCGCGACCCCGGCACGAGGCTGCATGGCCTGATGGGGGCAATCTCGGGCCAAGTGTCCCGGTTGATGACATGTAAAACATGCATTTGCCGCTGTCCCGGCTGGCCCCGCTGCAACTTGTGCAGCCGCGATGCCTCCCTGCATTGGTGCTCGCACCGCAACGGGTCGCATATTCTGCATCATAGCTTCTAATCAGGCGTTGTGCTCTCGCTGTTCCTTCTTGCTTTCTTGGATTAGACTAACCAATGTTTTAGTTAGCTCCAAGATAGCAGCAGACTCATTCGCTCTTGCGGGTGACTCGATGGTGGGTGGCGGTGGAGGTGGCTGAGTAACGATTGGGGACGCCATTACCGGGATCTGGTTGTTTACAGTCGCTCCCCATGGTGCGGTCCTCGATGTCACCTGTTCTACATACGTAACAGGTCCAGCTACGAATCCCATGTTTTCGAATTTGTTTTGCAGTGCGGCCAGTTCCGCCCTTGCTTTCACAAGTTCTGACGAGTCTCCTTCTCTATTATAATGCTCATTTTCTAAGAAGCTAGCTGCGAACTTCCGCTCCATTTCTTCGGAAGCGTCCATAATTTGTTGCAGCATGTGGTTAATGGGAGAGAAGTTTTTACGTAGCTTCCCCCGAATCGTTCTGTTACGTAGTCCATCAATGAACAGGTCCCGGCCTACCTGCTCGCCTCGCTCAGTCTTTACAAACATTCGATGAAATCTGTTCCGATACTCGATAATGGATTCGAGTGGTTTCTGGACTCGATCCTTGATCATATAGAGTGCTTGTTCGTGGTGAACATAATCGAAGTGGTTCATGAAATCCCGCTCGAATGTGGGGAGATCCACCCATACATAAGTGCTATACCAATGATGGGCGTCCCCTCCCATCCGCGCGGGGATGTTGATCTGAGCTTCATCGTTCGTATACCGCTGAGCTCGAAGCGTGGCTAACCATGCTCCTGCGAGATGGTGGGCTGGGTCAAATAAATAAAGATCTGGTGGAGCCGCAGGGGCTCGTGCAGGCAGCGCAGGCGGGTTAGGCTGTTGGTTGGGGTTGACCACCGCAGCAGCTGCTGCAGCAGCGGCCGCAGCCATGGCGCCTGCTCGCCTTGTGGCGGACGTTCGGCTTCGTGTAACTACAGGACTACGTCGGCGTGTATCCCCAGCTGAAGGGCGCCTACGTGGAGCTAGATTGCCTCGCCTTAGCCAATATTGGGTCTACAGACCCTATCACTTAGCCACGTGTCGGGCTCCGATACCAACCTTACGCCCGATGCGACTTCCTGATCGGAGTGGGATGGGGGGCTGGAAGTGCGAAGAGGGGTGTGCCAAGGATTTTTGGGAAAGTGGGGGTTGAAGTCCCAGGTCGGAACTGGGATCTTCTGTGGCCAAGTTCAGGGGCAGAGATGCAATAGAGCACTGGGAAAGGGCCAATAAGGCGCTATGGGATTCCACGGTACTACCGTAAGCTGATGATAGGGGAGGAGGAGGTGGTATGGCGGGAAATAAGTGGTGATAAGGACGAAGCCGGGGGTTATGAAATACTGTGTGTTGTACGTGTTTGGGTAGTCGGGTATCCGTGGGTCGCTTCGCACGGCGAGATGGAATTCCCTAGCGCAAAATCTATCGTTTTCCGTGAGGCAGGGGAACACCGGGTTTCTCAAATTTCCCCGCAATCGGAGTTGCTCTTCTTCCCAGATTTCCCGGTACCTAAAATACGACTCGTAATCCTCGGAATTCCAAGATACGTCGGAACTCCGTGAGCTCGTCATTCTTTCATCACTCACGCCTTGGGGGATAAGTTAATCGGGGAGATCACCGCTCGTAAGTGCGTAAGAGAGATGCGAACAAGTCGCACTTACGCGCACTTACGCGTGATGGGTAACCCGATCCCGGTTGACGTCGACTCCTACTTCAGTGATGGGCTGACTACGGGTGTTAGTCAGGACGCGATTGGCGAGTCCGAGTGGTATGGACATATATACGTCGCGCTCCATTCGGATCGCACTTGCAGGTGCCCATATGGCACGTCGAATGGTGCGCTCCAGATTACCCGTAAGATTCGACAAGCCAACACATTCTACTGATCACACCAACATGCAATCCCCATTCTCATTCATTATGCACGAGGGTTCGAAGGGAAACGATCAAAAACGAAAATGCAAAGGTGCATCGATAAAAAAAAAAAGAGAATCAAATCGAACAACAGGACGAGTATGTGGCCGCAAAGACAAGGGCGAGTTGCCCGTAATCGACACCAAAATTTATATACATAGATAAAAAATGGACCGAAAAGAAAAGCGTAAATCCATGTCCATCTTCGACTTCAACTCTCTCTCCTCTCTCTCTCTCCCCGATGCCGACAGTCCGTCGTCGCGCATCAACACATGAAGCCGTCACCCCGCTTAGTCCTCCTGTGCCCGTCAGGTTCGCTCCGCGCCCACAGTCCGTCGTGGCCCGCGTCAACCCCGCGCATTCGGCACCAGCTCGTCAGGTCGCCTGACTCCCACTTCACTCACCTCTTACTTCGCTCGTGTGCCGACCCTCTCAATCGCGCAACCCCGAGCTTCCAGCAACTCTTAAGAGAGAAGGTTAATCGCGCAGCCGGAATTTATAGTGTGCATGCATGCGCGAAGAACACGGAATTACAAGGACGTAGATAGATGAGAGAAAGGGAGTGCTTACGTTTGCACGGTCGGGCCGCGGCGTGGGGGACGTACCCAACTCCACGCATCAATCCGAACATGCAAACGCGGCTACCAAGCAAGGGAGGGGAGAGAGGAAGAAAGGAGGCGAGAAGAATAAGAAGCAAGAAACAGAAAGATACAGTTACAAAAGTGTGCGCCCAAAATTACAGTTGCAAAAGGATTAAGGCGCCAATCAATCAAGGTCCTGGCGCAGCAGCAAGAAAGAGCGCGCGAATACGCAAAGCAGCGCCCCCGAAAAACAGAAATTCCATAATTCCAAAATTCCTAGCTAGCCTGCCGATGAAAAGGTCCGAAAAAGAAAATCAAAATTGCGAGGGCCGTATGGCTCTGACCAAGATTCGAAACGAAAATTCAAGAAGGAAATTCAAAAAGAGACACCGAACTTCCCACGCGATGTTTGCGCGCCCAAAAGTTCAACAAAACAAAATTAAAAGAAGGGAACCGAAAGAAAAGAAGCGACTTCAACGTTTATTAATCGCGCACTTGGCGCGTACTCCGCATCCATCCGACCAAGTTTCACCCCCTTTTCCCCGTGCATTCCCGAATTGTCCCCAACTGTCATCAGGGGCTCGTGTGCGAACGAAGAAACAACGAAGAAAGCAAGGACACACATGCAATTTTCCATCAACCCGTCCAATCGACGTGGGACCCCGCTTAGCACTTCGCGCAGAAAGTCGCGCATTACAGAAGCTAGTTCGTCACAGTGTCGTCGAAGGGACAGCGACCTGACTGCTGTATTGCAGTGAACCATTTAGGCTCGACCGAAGACCTGAGACCTCTGAGCCGACGCTTCGAATCTCATCAACTAGCACCATGTTAGGCACGGAGCATTGCGATGACTACCGGTAAGGGAACGATGCACGCCGTAAGAACGAGAGACATAATGAAGAACGGAGGGGCGTCGCGAGTATGACCGGAGGAACTATCGTCCACCAACATGCTTCAACTGCGGCGAACCTAGGCACTGTGCCAATCAGTGCCCCGATAGAGATCGGCGGCGTCACCACTTAGACCGTCCTTCCACGTCCTTAGACTTCAGGCAGTCGGGCGCGCCGCAAATATTCGAACACCTAAGGAGATACGAATCACCATCAAGGGAGGGAGGAGACATCAAGGATACGGTTGAAAAATTGGGGAAATCCGTCGCTGCCATGACGGACTTCTTCAACGAAGCAAAGATGAAGAAAGACGAAAAGGAGCAGAGGAAACGAGAGAAGAAGGAGGCCGAGGAGCACGAGGCGGCAGGATGTGAACAGGCCGAGAGGAAGGCTAAGAAGAAGGCGGAGAAGTGTAAAGAGGAGATGGAATTGGAGGCGCAACGACGGGAGGAAATGAGGAAGGACAACGACATCCAACTCGCCATACGGCTCAGCGAGATGGAGGAGAATTTTTCACATCAAGTGGAGAGCGTTATCGGCCCCTTGAGGGAAATTATCAGGCACGGTAAGAAGAAAGTGACATACGTTGCAGAGAGTGCGTCTGCATCGGAAGAAGAAAGTGACACCAATGTTACGCAGGAACAAAGCGCGCAAGCAGAGCATCTATGTATCTCCGAGAAAAGGAATAGAGGACAGGAGCCGGAATTTGATGATAGCCCACCGATGGAGCTGCCACCGAAGCGGACGCCAAGGAAAGGTGCTCTGAAGCCGACCAAATTGACTGGCCGCATGACTAGAGCAAGGACCATCGTCAAGGCACATGGATCTGTCAAGCGGATATCACCCGTGAAGACACCTCTATCAGCCAGACGGAAGAAGAATATGGCACCAAGCACACCTGGGCCGGCCACAACACCTACAACGAAGGGAGCGCTGCAACGATTGCGCTTTCGTGACGGCATGATGGACGTGATCGAGCTGCAACGCATCTGCAAGGAAGAGGGGGTCTCGTATGACAGCAAGATCGATGCGATCTTTGCCGCTGAAAGTCGGGCTAAAGAGAAGTACGACTTAGACTCCACCGGCATCACCGAGGTTATCGCAGTGGATGACAGTGCTTCAGGCGGACCACCGGAAGAGCAACGTGATGCATGAGGAGGGTGGGAGATTCCAATACTGTGGAAACTCTACAGATGCTTTACTAAGTTGCGACGCGAGTTTGAAGGAGTGAATACTCTGCTCGAAGAGATCCTGCAGCTCATTGTGATTCGACTATCACTAGAGGGAGAGATTAGATGGAGTCAACGTTGTATCAGTAATTGGTTGCGTCTGTACAAGAAACACAGATTCGACTTCCTACGCCTTAAGGATGCAGTATTCGTGGGGCTGTCCCCATATTGTAAATCGTTGTACATAGGGAAGACCTCACGTAACGTCATTACAAGGTGGCGCAAACATTTATATGTCACCAAATCGAGGAAACCTGCTCATTTACATCGATGGTTGTTAAGCTACGGCCGTGAGAACTATGTATTGCTACCTATAGATTACATCGAAGGGCAGGACCTGGTGAAGCTGGAGAAATTGTACATCAGTCGTTGGTGCCCTTTCCTAAACACATCCGGCGCGAAGCAAGGTACTGGGAAGAAGAAATCAAGACCAGGACGGAGAGAACGTGAGAAACTCAAAGGGAAAACAAGAAGCACTGCTACGGACGACAGAGCGCTACGTTTTCGGCTTTCTACGGTGGAGCCATGGCGAGTTGATTTCTATCAACTTCTTGACTCGGCCTGCATAGAACGGCAGGAAGGCATGCAAATCTTCGTGGAAGGAGGGAGTATCTGGCAACCAGGTTGGAAGAAGATTAATAGGGCGTTTGGCGACACGAAGCTGAAGTGCGACGACAAGATCAAGGCACTGAAGCAGGCGAAGCCCGATCTTGAAGGAGGGGGTGTCTTTCAAGTGGTGCACTGGTGGAAGTGGAAGCCGAAGTGCAGATACCTCAAAGCCGTGCTAATTCGAATCTTACGCAACCCAGGTAGGATTGATGAGTGCTATAGGTGAAACATTAAAACGCTGCTACGACTGTACAATGCGATTAAGGACTTTAGCAGGAATGTGACTCGCAAGTATTTGCGTCGACTTATCTCCAGAATTTTTAGCTCTCGTTTTGGTCTGTGTATGGGAGCTGATCCGATTTTTCGATTGAAGTTTGATGATAGGATTAAGGTAGGTGAGGTGCGCAAGGTGTTGAATGATGCGTTGATGCAAGGTAACTTACCTAGATGTTTTTTACAAAGGATGGGAAAAAAGGTCCGCATTGTATGGGTGAAGAACCCGTCAATAGCGGACACGTTGCACAATCAACGGGTGTACGCCACCCGTGACGTGCTCACCTGCAAATGCGCAGGATTACCCTTCCCCAGGTCGGAGGGCCATGTTCGCTTCTGTATCAGTGAGATGGAGGGTGTACACCCACTTTTGCACAACGCACGTAATGTACTGAGCGTTCCCTGTGACGACAGACTGAGTTTGTTACAGAGCGAGATGTTCGAAGGCTTTAGGCAGTGTAAGAACTGGAAGTGTAAAGTGTCGGCATTCTCCACGGATATATTGACTAAATGTTTGAGTGATAGGTATGCAACCAAAGGAGAGCATCTGCTCTCCCACCACGTGCATGACCTGAAGTCGAAATTGGAAGGATTGGTACTGACCCACCTGGACAGGAATCCCGGTGAAACTGTTGCAATGTGCCCGTATGTGTACTATAAGGCCATGATGTCTACGTTTGTGCTTAACTGATTTAACTCAGGGTATGGAGTGATGGAAGTATCTGCGAGCGAGATTTTGAGAGAAGTGAGGGAAGAGGTAGCGGCGAAAGGCTTAACCAAGTTTGCCAGATGGGATAAGAGAGGAGGGTTCAGATCGACATATGTATTACCTAAGCAAAAGGACCTGGACAAGTACCGGCCGATCTGCCCCACGTACATGGAGCCAATGATCCAGACAGGACGAGCTATCTCACGGGGTCTCGACCATCCACTGAGAACACTACTGAAGAACTGACACTTTAACTTGATGTCAGTGTCAGACCTCGCAGGGAGACTGTCTGAGGTGAACGGGAAGCTACTCAAGCAAAAGGGAACAACAACTATAACAACAGTCTCCTATGATATTAAGGAGATGTTTGGCCGCCTGCGGCACTTCGATATTCGCACAGCGTTGGACTGGCTGTTTGGTTACCATCGATCGAAGGGGAGGACCTACGTGAGGGTGAATACGAGAGGGAAGGGCGCTACTTTTGGAAGGACAACCGGTGCGGATCATTGGAGATATCTTGGGTTCGATTCAATGTTGTGCTTCCTACATCTGGAGCTTGAACACACCTACACATGCGCGACTGGCGTGTTGCTGAAACAACTGGTGGGGATCCCGATGGGAAAAACCACCATCCCACCACTTGCATGCATACTATGTGCCCATGCAGAGTATTCTTTCCTTCAAGCGATTGGCAACGATGCTCGACTGATCCACGACACCAGACTGATAGATGATGTCACGCTTACCATTGCAGCTAGGAGCACAACTAAGCGCGATGCATTGCTGTCCGCATTTGAAGTCTGCTATCCGGCAACACTCACACTCAAGCGCACTGACGACGGGACCAGAACGTTTGAATTCCTTGGATGCCAAGTCCGCTCCAAGCAGAAGTACCCGTACCTTAGCTGCCTGCAACTATTCAAGAACGAAGACAATGTATGGACAGACGGGGAGCTACAAATCCAGAACGGACAATCATACTTGTCCTGGGGCTGTAAGAAGCAGAAAAGTGTTGTCATCAACAACTACTTACATCGGATCGAACAAAATACTACAATCAGGTCCGAAATTCCTCGCCGTGTGAGTACTTTGAAAAGGGAACTGTCAAAGAAAGACTTCCCATGTGAACTTTTCATGAGAGTACTCAAACATTTTGGCTCTCGCAAGGACGATGTCTGGCGATTCACCATAGAACTGTTAGATAACTAGATGTGCGAAGTTTCTTTTCCTTTTCAATTTTCTGTTTTCATAAGTTCTGTCCTGTGGGATTGAGCAGATTGGTTAGAGAATGAGCACCTGGTTTCTTGTTTTACGTTTTCTGTTTTTCCGACTTTTTTTGGTTATTGTGTTTGTGCTGTGTATTTCACATATCAATGTCGAAAGTATTAGCCTTTTCGATGTAGTGGATCCCACTGCATATTCGGACAGGGTATACATGCTTTCTAGCCTGCATATTTTGCCCTCGATGAGGATCAAGCCGGTTTTACATGAGTTCGGCCTATTAAGCATATCTGTTTTGTCTCCTATTGCTTTGTTTTGTAGATTCAGTTTTGAGGCACCGGGTAGCTACCGGTTTGGGCCCGGCCGTCGACCGGACGGTCTGGGCCCCTTTGATTTTTGAACCACCAACTGTGATTTCACAGGGTACCTAGACATTAGTACTAGTAGTACCAGTTGGCGGTCTCGGCGTGAGACCTATACCAGTTTACTTAGGAATAGTACTTAAGATGCTAATGCAATTAGGTCGGCCTCTTTCAGGACTAACGTCCCGTGACTCTTACTAGCGTCCGGACGCCGGTGTGACGAGCGGACGGAAGCGGGTTAGTGGATCGAATGGTTAGTACGGGTAAGAAGGTGGTCAAAACCCCTGAAGATGACGACGTGGCTTCCGTTGAAACGCGTTGGGGACGCCTATTCCATGTGTTGTTTGTTTTGCGCTTAATTGCATTTGTCAAGGGTGTAATTGCACTCGTCAAGGGTGTAACTGCACTCGAAGACTTGTCTACATGCTTTCGCAACAAGACTGATTCCTTTCATACTCTTGCACAATTTGTGGATGGCGTCGTTGTTTTTTTTTTTTTTTTTTTTTTTTCCAAAAATAGGCAAAATTCATAAAACAACTCAGAACCCTCCATCAATCCCCTTTACCTCACTTCGACAAGACTTACTGCAGCAGAGCCAGCATCTCCGCTGCTGTTGTACCCTATTTCCATCCTACGAGCTAGCCCTTTCACTAGTAGGACGCTTGATATCCAACCATCTACTTATCCCGCTCACCTTTTTTTGAGAAAATATGGAAAAAACATGCAACCCTTGCAACAATCAACCCAAAAGGTCCTGCCTCCATCATCGAAAGGAAAAAACTCAAGTTGTTCCAAGTGTAGTTAGTAGCAAGTGGTCGGTACCCGCCACGATACTTGGTGCCGATTGCATCCACCCCAACTCCCTCCATCCCAGTCTCATCCGTCCTTCTTAACTCCGCCCTCGTAAAAAAATCCAGAAGACCGCTTCTTAGCAGGGGTGAGCACCATCATCACCTGAAGTTCCTTACCCCCATAAGAACTCCAGTCTCCGTCCTCAAAGAGGTGAACTAGTGCTACCCAACGCCAATTGCGCCAGAGCTCGCCCTCATCAACCTGTACCCATCGGATAGCCTAAACTACCCAACGCCAATCGCATCTTATAAGAGCTCCCCCTAGCCGGTACCTGTCAAGCAACCCTATTCCATCCCCCTCTCCGTCCTTGAAAAGAATCATTCCATGCCCCTTCCCCCTACTTCAAAACAGATCCCCCAAAACCCTACAAGATACTTCACTTGACTCTCCCATGGGGCCCTTGTTAAGATCCTGAAGAGACTCTGACGAAGAATAGGACATTGCACAAGTTTAGGAAAACAAGCAACCCCGGAAACAGACAACCCGAACAATCCTGCCTCCATCATCGAAAAGAAGAACCTCATTCGTCCTCCCAAACTCCGTCCTAGTAAAGAGTCCAGAGAACTTCCTCTCAGCAGGGGGCGGACACCATGATCACCCTGAAATTCCTTGCCCCCACAAGAATTTCAGTCTCTATCCTCAAGGGGGTGAAACAACACTTCCCAACGCCAATCGCGCCAAAGCTCACCCTTATCAGCCGGTACCCAGTGGACAACCTAAGCTACCCAACGCCAATCGCATCTGATAAGAGCTCCCCCTAGCCGGTACCCGTTAAAAAACCCTATTCCATCCCCTCTCCGTCCTTCCTAAGAATTATTTGATGCCCTTTGCCCCCTACTTGAAAACAAATCCCCCAAGACCGTACAAGATGCTCCACTCGACCACCCCATGGGCCCCTGTTCAAAATTCTGACGAAACTCTGATGAAAAGAAATAGGTCAAATTTTGGAA